CTTTTTTAGAGAAGCGTTGGATTATGTGTATTGACAAGAAAACATATAACGCTGAATAATAAATAAATATTTATTTGTGTAAAATAATCGATTTTCCCCCATTGAGGCTGTCGACACTGATACCTATGTTGATAGATATGAACAAATTGAAATAAATAGAGAGAGAGAAAGAAGAAAGCGAGAGAGAAATAAAAAGAAAGAATGGGAGGAAAGGGAGATAGAAGGAGTTTTTTTAGCCGATAGAATGAGGCAAAAACAGAAAATTGGAAGAGTTAACCAAAGAGAAAAGTGTGGCGGGGAGCGGGGGGAGTGATGGCAGAAGATTTAAAGAGTGAGGAAAGAAAAACTGAAATAGAAATAAAAAGAGGGACAGAGAAAGAGAGATGAACATTATGTTTCGTATTGAAAATGACAGAATTACTGAATATTTTGTAAGAATTACTCAGAGAAACCATATTTTTATCAATAAAAAAAAGCAATATCTATTTTTGTTTGGTAATTAAAGTCTTTCTAGGGAGGAACAATTGAGCCCTTTAGACTCTACTTTTCGGTTGAAAAATTGCAATGAAATACAGCTTCAATCTCTATCGATCTTCTTTTAATCTGTTGTAAACACACCTATGTTTTCAGAAAAAGAACGGTCATCCAGTAAATTGATTCCTTCATTTATAAAACGGATCCAAACAAAATAAAACAAAATAAAAATCAATATACACGCCAACATACACAGACACACACACACACACACACACACACACACACACACACACACACACACATATATATATATATACATAATGACAATACAAGATATTATATTTACCCCTGTCCCATAATAGTTGTTCCATTTTAGTGTATAATATACATACACACGCCAACACACACACACACACACATATATATATATATATATATATATATATATATATATATATAAAAAAAAAAAAAACTGATTTAAGGTATAGCTATATTTACTGGTAAAAGTGCTCAGTCTCAGAGAAAGCGAACGTCCTAACTATTCAGCCACGCGCCCATATATATATATATATAGAGAGAAAGAGAGAGAGAGAGAGAGAGAGAGAAGTGGATATTGAAGTCAACGCCCAGAGATGGCAATCTGTTCCATGCTTAAACGCAAATGTCAGGCTTGATAATTGGATTTAAGCATGAAACAGACTGCCGTCTCAGGGTGTTGACTTCAATGTCCACTTTTGTATTTACATACGCTTTATCCCATAAATATAGCATACCTTAAAACTATATTTTACATACACATACAAGTCTGTTTCGTTGTATCAGATCTAATCGGTGTGGCTAGACATCCGATTGCTTCAAGTCGGGATCGAAACCCGACCGATTTGGCATTCAAAGATCCTACCCCTAAGCTATCATAAATAGACAAAGCGAAATTTTAACGTATTATATACGAATATATACAAACGCCATCAGCCAGATGGCTCAATTCATTAATGAAGAATGGTACATATATATATATATATATATATATATATATATATATATATATATATATATATATATATATATATTCGACTGTCCCGTCGAATTCGACGTATGAGGGTCAAGCAGATCAGTTCCTAGGAAACCGACAGCCCGACAACAGCACGTGAGATTTGATTATAGTGGTGAAGGTTTCGTGCAAGACCATCCACACTTTTTGAAGGGTCGAATACAGAGACCTTGGTGCACTACGTGCCACAATGTCCCCAAACGATCTTCCGCAGGTTTTGAATTCAGAGTTGTCCTTCTCCTAGACCAGTTGCCATCCAAGGCTATAGAACCCAGTCTGTCCTGCTATTTACCCATAGCTTGAGGGAGAAGAAGAGGATTCACACCTTTCCCAAGGGTATTAGCACGTAAGTGAATGTAACTGGATTCGATTGGAATTCGAACTCGGCTCTCTCCATCATTCATCATATATATATATATATATATATATATATATATATATATATATATATATTCTGGAATGTTTCATTGGTAGTGATTATTTTCTAAAGAAGACATAGACAAATGTTTAAATGCTGAACGATGATCTTTTCTTTAATTACATGAGGAAGCCATTATCTTAATTTTGGGATTTTTTTCTGAGGGTTTGAAACAAGATTCTACAGTTAATTTATTCACTTTTAAGTTTTGTTATTTGCACTGCAGCTACATTCAAAAGTTCCTCTACTTTTTTTCATATTCTATATTTTCATGCAATTTTATGCATGTTTTGTAAATTAAATGCTACAGTTAAGTGATTCGCCCCCTTTTGTTGCCTTTTCTGTCAAAAGTTTCTCCAATTCAACAGTTTTTCAATTTTCGATGTCTTCCGGGTTGTTTTCATGTACTGCATCATTGCCACAAAATTCAGTTTTCCGCTTCTGAGCATCCACTGAGCTTTAGTCCAGATTAAACAGTATTGAATCAAAATGTTATATTTATCTATATTTTTTTACAAAAGTAAAATTATTATTTTTCTACAAACAATATTCAAAAACTATGCGCGCATAAATAATAAAGAGATGAGAAAACTTGAGTCACTTCTAAGATTTCTCTAACATTAGGTAAAATATAACATTGGAAACTTGCATCACCGTAATCTACGAGATAGTTCTCAGTTCGACCCATTTCTCACGATCTGACCAAATGACTAAACATTCCATTTTCACGAGCGAAGTGCTTCTTGGTCGGAGATATTTGGGAAAACATCGTTAGCGGGTCATAAATGAAAGATGACATAATGGTATGTGCCAAATTGTAAAGTTCTCTTTTTTTTTTTTTCAGATGTATCAAGAACAAAAACATGGCTGCTACCAATTTCTCATGGGAAATGAAAACGCACGTCGTCCTGGTTCCACTAGCCCCCAATCACAACGACTTGGTGATAGTAAATTTCTTGAAAGTGACCAGCTGGACAGGAAGACTAAGTTACAAAATCTTTCCTGTGTTTCACGTTATTTTCTTTTTCCGAACAACTCTCAAAATCAATCCACTATAACATAAAGAATCGCATATTCTATCATTTTCTTTTTCTTTAAGAAAACTATTTTACACTTTAAGTTCCTAAAATTTTCGATAACTTCTTTTATGTGTATGAGTGAGAGAGAGAGAGGGGGGTATAGGGACCAATTTCGTATGTTTCTTCGTATGGTGTGCAATTGTGGGATCACAAAGGTCTTAAAAGCGACCAAATCGAACATAAGGAGAAATTTGCGATTCTTCCCTGACCTTCAAGAATTCACATAGAAACATTAAAAATGAATTTTAATATAAATGATGCCACCATCATTGATCATTAACTGTTTGAAACACAATTCTTTTTGCTTCTACTTTGGACGACTCCTCGCCTGCTGTTGTTCAGACCAAGGTATGAAACAAAATGGTGGTACAGAACATATGCATCTCTACTCTACGATATATGAAGATAAAATGGTGCTATTACAAATAATCTACCATGCAGATACCAACACTTCAAGAGCAAGATTAAATTCAAGTCATAAAACGACAACGAGGTAAAACTGTAAAAGAAAGAATGTGAAGACATTTATTGTTGGCCTTCAAGCGTCGATTTTTGAAGTGAAGCGAAAAAGTTTGCTTAACTGGAAACGTACAATAAAAAACCAAAGAATAAGTGAAAATAACCTTCTTCATTTATTTTAGCAAGTCATAGTGGGGTTGTAGCTCTGGTATATAATAAATAAATAAAAATCTTAAGGGGAGTTTCCCATTCTGGAGTTTTTTTATGGGGACCGATCTTATAAAAGATGCTTCATGGAATAGTAACGCAAAGAGCGACCCAGAACTACAGACGTCAACTCTCACGTCGTTTTCCCCTTGCCACCATGACATGCAGAAACCGGACACTACACAGCATTAAAGGAAACCGACTTAACAGATAGCTGAAAGCAATAAGAAAGAACTTTTCAAGTCGACTTTCATTTATACACTATTATTTTTTATCAATTTATTCAAAGTAAATAATACAAGTAGATGAATTTGTTATATTTTGATTTAACTTGTTTTTCTCTTTTGCCACCCAACTACAAGTATAGCCCCGCAGAATAAATAAGTTTTGTTCATTGTTCACGAAGGATTACCGAATGTGATAGACATCTGAAGAAGGCAAAATAGTACATCAACTGAAACGTCGTGGCAAAATGAAATAACCAAAATTGTATGTATGAATTGATATATTATGAGGAAATTTGCCCTGTTAATCCGTGCACTAATGATATTTTATTTAATCTGTGAACCTCAAATACTACATTAGCCAAAACGTTGTGATAAAAAAATATGAAGACAGATCAGTCAGTTATGTACCATATGTGATACACGTTTAGGCGATCATGTATCTTTCGATACATGACTGATAAGGCAGATTTTTTTCTCGCAGCAAGTTGCCATTTCTTTCTGCGGTAGACCAGTTGCCATCCAAGGCTATAGAACCCGGTCTGTCCTGCTATTTACCTATAGCTGGGGGAGAAGAAGAGGATTCATACCTTTCTCAAGCACGTAAGTGAATGTAATGGATTCAACTGAAATTCAAAGTCGGCTCGCCGATTCCTCAATCTGAGCCACTATCCATTACTCCACCGTGCCTCCCCGATATAGAAACTGGACCAAATTATTCGTCATCACTTACAATTGTCATTGATACGACAAACGACCGATGTATGAAGTTGCCTTCTTTTCTCAATCATATTTTATTTTCTTTCTCTGTTTTTGCAACGTACTGTTGTCTTTTTTTACTTCCTTTGTTTATTACAAGGATATTTCCATTTCCCTGAAGAGAGGAAATGGTGGCGTTCAATATTTTATATTTCCTCATTTAAAACAAAACGAGAATAAATATCGATAGAACTTCACCCGTCGTTATAACCTGTGATTGGTTTAATGAATCGGAACCGTAGACAGACATTTGAAAATATTCGATTTGTCGAAAATCTCTTGGGGTCAGTCGAGATATGGCACTTAAAGTATAGCGTATAATCTGT